AGGCAGAATTAATAATGTCAAAATGGCCATACTACCAAAAGCATTATACAGATTTACTGCACTTCCTATTAAAACCCCAATGACATTCTTCATAGAAATAGAAAGAGCAATCATGAAATTTATTTGGAAAAATAATAAGAGACCCAGAATAGCCAAAACAATCCTTAGCAAGAAGATGAAGCAGGAGGCATCACAATCCCAAACCTAAAATATGCTACAAAGCTATAGTAGCAAAAACTGTATGATATTGGTACCAAAATAGACATGTAGACCAATGGTACAGAATAGAAGACACAGAGACAAACCCATACAAATATAGTTATCTCATACTAGACAAAGATGCCAAAAACATTCAATGGAGAAAAGATAGCCTATTCAACAAACGGTACTGGTAAAACTGGAAATCCATATGTAGCAAAATGAAATTAAACATCTATCTCTCACCCTGCACAAAAATCAACTCAAAGTGAATCAAAGACTGAGGCACTAGAACAAAGACCTGTGCCTAACAGAAGAAAAAATAGGCCCCAATACTCACCATGTCGGCCTAGGATCTGACTTCCTTAGTAAGACTCCTAAAGCTTAAGAAGTAAAATCAAGACTCAATAAATGAACTGGGTTCAAATTTAAAAGCTTCTTCTCAGCAAAGGAAACAATCAATAATGTGAGGAGAGAGTCTACAGACTGGGAGAAAATCTTTACCACATGCACCTCCAATAAAGCATTGATCTCTAGAATATATAAAGAACTCAAAAAACTTAACACCCAATAAACAAACAACCCAATCTATAAATGTGCTAAGGAACTGAACAGATGCTTCACAGAAGAAATACAATCAATCAACCAATATATGAAAAAGTGTTCAACACCTCTAGCAATTAGAGAAATTCAAATCAAAACTAAGTCACTAAGATTTCATCTCATTCCAGTCAGAATGGCAATCATCAAGAATACAGGAAACAATAAATGTTGATGAAGATGTGGTGAAAAAGGCACACTCATACATTGCTGGAGGGACTGCAAATTGGTATAACAACTATGGAAAGCAGTATGGAGATTCCTCAGAAAACCTGAAATGGAAAGACCATATGACCCAGCTATCCCACTCCTTAATTTATACCCAAATGACTTAAAATCAGCATACTACAGTGATGCAGCCACAACAATGTTTACAGCAGCTCAATTCACAATAGTTAAAATATGGCACCTACCTAGGTATCCTTCAGTAGATGAATGGATGAAGAAAATGTGGTTTTTACATTCAATGGAATATTACTCAGCTTTAAAGAAGAATGAAATTATGGCATTTGCTGGTAAATGGACTGAGTTGGAGAATATCATTCTAAGCAAAATAAGCCAATCCCCAAACACCAAAAACCGAATGTTTTCTCTAATATGCAGATGCTAATTCACAATGTGGCGGGGAGGCACAAGAGAAGACTAGAGTTACCTTAGATTAGGTAGAGGGAAGTGAAGGGAAGGAAGGGGAAGAGATAGGAAGAAAAGTAGAAAGAGACAGACATTACTACTTTATGTATATAGATAACTGCATGACCAATGTGATTCTACAACATATATTCTCAGAAAAGTGAGAAATTATATCCCATCCATGTATGACATATCAGAGCGCATAAATGCATTCTACTGTCATAACTAATTAAAACAATAAAAAATTAAAAATAAAAAAACGAGTTATATGGAATTCCTTTTGTGATTTTATTGTTAATTACCTAAGTGCTTGAGTCCCAATTTAAGAACTACTGGGCTGGGGATGTGGCTCAAGCGGTAGCGCGCTCGCCTGGCATGCGTGCGGCCTGGGTTTGATCCTCAGCACCACATACAAACAAAGATGTTGTGTCCGTCGAGAACTAAAAAATAAATATTAAAAAAATTCTCTCTCTCTCTCTCTCTTCTCTCACTCTATCTTTAAAAAAAAAAAAAAGAACTACTGACTTTGGTTAACATGGACGTTTTAACTCTGGGTAACTATATTTGCAGAAACTTATTTTCTCTTGTTTGGGATTCGGCATGAAGAAGGAAAGGGCCACAAACTACATGTAAATATATTGAATTGAGAGGCATACAGAAAGAACTATATGATAGATAATTTGAATTTTTTATTAGAGAACCATGATGAATGATATAAAGTTGGAGGCTCTGAGATACGTTGGTAAGAAAAGTGGTCAGATGTGGTTTTTAAGACCCTTTGTTAGCTGTAAGTCTTTTTTTTAAATATTTCATTTTATTAATGGTTTAAATTTTCTTAATAGAGCTTCCATCCTTAAAATATACTTTCCTGAGTCCTTTGGTTATAATTTGAAGTATTTTATTATAATTTAGGACAACTGCTTTTTTTTTTTGAGACAGGGTCTCACTAAGTTGCCCAAGCTGGCCTTGAATTTATGATCTTCTGTCTTAGCCTTATAAAATCTTCTAATCTTAACATGCAGATCTTTTGTAACATTTATCAGTAACAATAGTAGAAATAACAGTATTGGTAATAACACTAGTAATAATAAAAACATGCATTTATTATGTGTTTCTTTCATGATAAACTTTGTCATTTCAATTTTAGAGAAAAGGACACTAAGGCAAGTGATGCTATGTAACTAACTCAAGTTAACATAATTAGAAAAAGGTGAAGCTGGGATTCAAATCCAGTGATGCTTTCATAGCTTGAACTCTTCAACATCTAAACTAAACTAGCAAATCATATCATAGAAGAAACTGACCACATCTATTAAATCAATCTAGTGCTTTTGTTAATTAAACAATGGGAAACACGTGTCTGTAAAGATCAGTGTTTTGCAATTCAATATGCTATCATACAACTGGCATTTAGGTACACTTTGTGAAGAGTCTCAGTCTAATTTATCATCCCATTAATAAGGAACAAAACCTGAAGGTATTATTAACTTTCTCAACTCATAGTTTGCTGGAATGCTGTTTTCTTCACATTTCTGTGCAGTATTCTTCAAACTACAATATATTCAGTGGTTAGTCCAGCATGTTTTCTTATTTCTAAAGTCTAAACTTGAAAATTGGAACTCATCAGATGTCATATTATAGAACATTTCTTGAAGTAAGTTAAGATGAAATTTAGAAATCTTTTAGTTGTAACTGATATTTTTAAATATTCTAACTAGGTTTATTTTTCAATCCAATTTACAATTGTAAGTCTAATATTTAAGAATCTTAAATTGAAAGTTATTATTAGGTACTAGAAATTAAACCCAGAGCACTTTATCACTGAGCTACATTCCCAGTTCTATTTATTTATTTATTTAAAAATTTGAGATAGGGTCTTGATAAATTACTGAAGCTAACTTCTCATTTACAATACTCTGGCCTCAGTCTATCCCAGTGGCTAGGATTACAGGTATGTGCATCAGTTGAAAATTATTTTTATAAGTCTAGGTTGGCAGCCAGATAATTTTATAACTAGCTATGTAAGGTAATCAAGGTAATTAATTATATCACAGAATTAGAAAATATTTAAAGAAATGGGGAGGGAGCAACTTTACCTTACTAGGTTTTGCTGCATATATTCAACCTTCATTAAAATTTGGACCTCAGTCTGAGAGTGAACGTAGGCTTTCAACCTGAAATAAAAACATCATATTGAAGAAAGCAAAATTAAATTTTAGTACTTTCCAAGACAGTTTTTATAAAGACTAAGCATTTATGAAGAGCTAATAATACTTAAAAATTCATCAATCCAAGCACAGAAAAGAAATAAAGATGTGTCTTAACCAAGGATCTGAAAAAATTACTTTTCTTCTCTTTGTTCAATTAAACATCTTAAATTAAAAAATACCTGCTTCAACAAACATGTGTAAAAATATTTTACACATACTTTTGCTCAAATGTATCCAATTTAGTGACAGGTATTTTGTCTTCTGCCAAGTATATGACTAATGATGACAAGTAGATTATCAATTATAAAGAAAGAAACTCAACTATCAATACTGCTTGAAATGTTACTTGAGTTTGGATCAGTCTGAACAATATTTTTTAGCAAAAGTTGAAAAATGAGGTTTAATTAGAAATGGACCAGATCAGACATTTTAGAATCTACAGTTTAAATTTTGAATACCAAATTACTCTGGCACAATCCAAGCATTCATATTCAAAGCAAGTACCATCTGGTGAAAATAAAGTCAACTGGGTTCCTGCCCAGGAGCACTAATAACTCATACACCAATAATAGTTTCCTTTCTTGAGCACTGCCTACTATATGCTAGGTCCGGTACTAGGAACTCTGAATGTGCTATTTCTTTTAAGGTTCATAACAACCCTATCTAGTATGTATTACCATTCTTATTTCATTGATGGAAAAATTAAAAGCATGGAAGTTAGGTAATTTAGTCTGATCACACAGTTAATAAGGGACAGAGCCAGCTATTTTAATTTGGATATCCATGACGGAATCTTTCCACTATGCTATGTTAACTACTTTTGTCCATACTTTATTTCTGGATAGGAGGCAGAGTGTACCTTAGTTCTATGAAGACTTGGCTGAAGCAGGATTTCCTGTGTTTAATAGTTACTTGGAAAGTCTTAATTTTCAGAGTCTTTGGTTCAACTTGAAAGGCAGCTTAGTTTAAAGGTTAAGAGTACAGATTGTGAATCTGGACTGATGGTTTGAAATCCCCAGCTTTCATGCTTATTAATTGTTCAAGTTTACTTAACCACTTTAAATTTGCCCAGTATGTTAAAAGGGACATAATATCTCTAGTCTACCATACAAGGATATTGTGAGAATTCAATGAATTAGCATGTTTATTATTATCTGCTTTGAAGAGTGTCCAGGACACAGTAAATAATGAGTGTTAGCTACTGATGTTACTTATATGGACTGAATCTCAGCAAACACCAAGGAAATAGTAAATTGCAAGGAAAAGTAAATTGCACCAACATATCATGTCCCAATACATATCTTACCATAATAAATATGCAACTAAAATATACTTCAACACTTTTAATTACTTCAAACAGTTAACAGGAGTTTTTTAACGTACCTTTGACGAATAACAGGATCAGACTTTTCAGGATCAATGTAAGGTTTTAGAATTTCATTAATAGTTTTATCCTCTTGTACTCTTTTCAATAAAGGAAAGGAAAACAGCTAGATTATTATTTATAATTTGCTGTAAAAGGTGTTAACTTAGAATTACTAAATGTTGTGGGTTTTTTGTTATTGTTTAAATA